GTTTACACCCGAAGCTTTTTTTAATTATTTACATCTTTGGACGAATGGGGCTTTGTTTAGATTTTTTTATAAATTGTGTTTTGAATTTGAATGAGATTTGGTAGATTTAATAAATTTAAAACAAAACAAACCATATGTAAACATACTCAGTGAAGCAAAACACTTAACGGGTTTGCATATATTTGAAATTTATTTAAATCATTTTTTTTACATATTGCTGCTGGGCTTCGAATCTTTTGAGACATGCCGCCAAGTGTTTATATATGTTCAATAAAGGGTGACTCGTTTAGCACTTGCTTTTTTTAAATAATGCTAAATTAAAAATTGATTATGCATGTCAGTCCGTCTGTGTGTCCGTCCGTCTGTCCATGAATTCTTGGGAACAAAAGCAGGTCGCATTTATTATCCGATTGAGATGAAATTTGCCAAACAATATTTGTTTGGCCCAAGGACGAACCCTATTGCAATTGGTGATATCGGATCAGATTTAGATATAGCTCCCATATATCTTCAACCGATTTCGGGTAAATTGTGCACCAAATGGCCAATATAAGTCCAAAAGACCTGAATTTTGCCACATACGACCGAATTCAGTCTAGAAGCAAGTACAACAAATTTAGTGAAAATCGGCTCAGATATAGCTATAGCTCCCATATATATCTTCAACCGATTTCGATTTCGATTGTGCACCAAATGGTCAATATAACACCAAATGACCTTCTAGACTGAATTCGGTTGGATGGTCCAAAATATCGAACCGAATTCAGTCTAGAAGCAAGTTCAGATATAGCTATAGCTTCCATATATATGTTTCATCCGATTTGGTGTTTAAGTCCCTCAAATTCGTAATATTCACTCGACAACAATAATATTTGGTACCAGATATCTTATAGAGCTCGGAAATACCTTTGCCAAATTTTATCGAGAACGGCTAAGATTTAGATATAGCTCCCATATATATCCTTAATGCAATTTTAGGTTTATTGTGCAAATAATGGCTAATATCAGCCCAAGTGGAGTGAATTTCGGGACGTACGTTTCCATTTTGTGGAACTCGGCTCTGATATATATTTTTTTAATATAATCCTTCTCATGCACTCCATAGCAATGTTATTTGGTATAAAAGATTAAATTGTCTCCGTCAAATTTAGTGAAAATCGATTGAGAATCGGATATGCCTTCCATATATTAGTTCCCTCTGAAATCAAACTATAAATGCTCAAATGTTGATTGGTGTTATGATCTACTTCAAATAAATTACGGGAGCTCTACTAAATATGCATAGTGGTGTAGGGTATCATATAGTCGGCCCCGCCCGACTTTTGACTTTTCCTTACTGGTTTTTAATTTAACGTTTAAATTATAATAATTTACCAAAAAAAATTTTATCCGATTTTCAGTTTAAAAGTGTGATGAATCCATTCTGAAACACGGCTGTTTTTTGCTAAATTTTACTGAAAGCTGTTCGATAGAATTTTTCAATATTCGTATGCGTCTGTACAAGTTACTGAGTATTTTGGCACACACACTCTTTGTAATGATTTTGTAAAAATTATTCCAATTTATTGGGTTATTGTACACCCCAATTATAGACCTAATTTAGAACACCTATTTAAATGCTAACATTAGGGAATACTTCTATTACTGTAAATAATAAAATTGAACTTGAACCTTAATCTACATACGAAAAATACAATGTTGTTTAGAAAGCAACATCTAAATGTGTCACCCTTTACAAATTTGAAAATAAACATTAGGATGGAACGAGTAAAATTTGCGGCATTAAAAATGAAACGGCTATTTCAAACTCAACATAAATATCTTGCATAATTTATGACGATGTGTACCCTTGTCTCGAGCTACGAGCAGGTAATTTCATGAAGTTGTGCCTTTTTTGATGAAGGACGAATTTATATCTATATCGTGTTTCATTTAATATACGCACAGGATTTAGCAATCAATAAATTCCAATTAAATCTTAATGTTATACAGCCTACTGTGCATATAACCTAGCATGGTTGAATCTTTTGTTTTTGTAATTTTGAAACAACTACCTTTGAAGTAACAAGATAACCACGTCATCTCAAGTAAAAGACGACCACGTTTTCTTAAGGTTGAAAACTACCAGAAAGAACATTAAAACTTTATTTCCTAATTTTTTCAGAACATGCTAATATTAAGCAGCAAAATATTTAATGTATTTTTGCTATGATGGGAATAGCGTATTTATTATTTATAAATATATTCGCAAAGTGACGTAAGATTGTATGTCATATTCAAAAATTATTTAGTTTGTCAAGTCCATTAATAGATATAAACAAACAATTTGAAGGTCAAGTCATTTTGATTTGAGGAAACAAATATATAAAAAAAAAAAAACAAAATGGTTCTAGCGTCACGATGAGATCTGTGAATTTTCCTTATGGTATTGTTTGCAAATTCTCGAAAAATAAAATGTAATAAATACAAAAATATTATTTAGCTAGTAAAACTCTCTATATGTGAATTGGGAATGCGCAGCAATGTAAAGTTTAATCTATAGATAATAAAAATTCACGCGTGTGAATAAATCTTTTGTGTCTCGTACCATCGCTCGTTACCGTGATACTGGTAGCGTAGCCCGACGTCAAGGAAGTGGACGGAAGAAAACAGCAACATCAGCAGAAATGGTTCGAAAAGTAAAGCAGTGACTTGATCGAAACCCGCGTCGCAGTGGCCGAAAAATGGAAATGACTCGTGAGCTGAACATATTTCAATATTCTATTCGGCAAATATTGAAAAATGGTCTTTGGGTAAAGCCATTGAAATTCTGTTGCAGTGCAAGAACTTATACCGCAAAAAAGAAAATAGACTCAAAAGAGCTAAAGAGTTGCTTCGCTTGGCCGAAAGTGGTGAACTGCCGAATTTGGTTTTCTCCGATGAGAAAACATTCGTTGTCCAGCAGTTTGTTAACAAACTAAATGATCGTGTTTACCTGCCAAAGAGGTCAGCTGAAAATGTGCACCTTCGGTTGGCCACCAGAACTCAAGCGCCGGCCATGGCGATGGTGTGTGCCGCCATAACAGCCGATAGTCGCTGTCCGCTCGTATTATAAGAATAAATGCCAAATATTATCTGGAACATATTCTGGAGGGCGTATTAAAGCCTTGGACACGCAAACATTATGGCCGCAGACCTTGGACATTCCAACAGGACTCAGCACCATCGCACATAACACGCGCCACTCAAGAATGGTTACAAAATGAGGCTTCATTTCCAGCGCACAATGGCCACCAAAATCTCCGGATGCCAATCCGTTGGACTACTGTGTCTGGAGTATTTTGGAGAGCAAGGTTGGCACTAAAAAATACCAAAGTGTCGATCAACTCAAGCAAGCGCTTCGCCGGGAATGGGACAAAATACCGCAGAGCAACATTCGGGCAGTGTGTGATGGTTTCATTGGCCGTTTGAAGACCATAATTCGTGCCAAATGTCACCAATTCGAAAAAAATCTAAACTTATACTAAAATTTGATGCTATTTCCGACATATTTGCTTTTATTCCATAAAATTTAAAAAATAAATTATGGCGTTTGACTTTGTTGCAGATTTTTTATCTCACCCTGTATATTTTTACAGCACTCATAGAGTAACAAAAAATATAACCTGCTAACCATAAACCATCTGGACAATCTTCCCAGTAACATTCAGTAAACTACGAGCCCAAAACTGTCAAAATATTTTTAAGATATCGCTGAAAAATTCATTCACTCATTTAATTCTCAGTAACAACTTTATCGGGAAGAAAGACACACACAATATTCTGTAAAAGTTAGTCATAAAATTAGCAATGGGAAACAGATTCCTTCCCGTACAAAGGGAAAATCATATAAGACACCACAAGAAGGATTCTACTGAAGCATAAAAAATCTTTCGACTTTAATTAATTAGATTTCTTTTACAGATATAGTTTCCATTACATATCTGTAAGTTACTAAACATAGGCTAAACACTTATAAATTAAAAATCTGCTAAAGTATGAATAGTTCTTCATGTTAGTTCCAATCAGTTTTTCTGTATAAACAATTAAGTGAATATTTTTGAAAAATTAATTTTCATTAAAATATTGCTCAAACATGAGATACATAAAAACTAATACAAATACTGATATAAACATAAGTATACAAATACTGATATAAATAAATATATCAACATTATTAGAAACTACAATACAATGTGAGCCCATTACCTTTCTATAGACGTAATTAAGAATTTTTCTAAAATCAATCTACCAATAGATGAATTTACAAAACATTTTTAATTATTTTTTTTAGAAACACTACTACAAACACGCCATCAACAATATAAAGGGATGTTTACTACATTTTTCTATATTCAAAAGTGTATGAAATAAAAAAAGTCTTTGAGTTTTGCTTAGTTTTTGCTAAGTGTAAGGCACAATTTATTTATAATTGTTTTTTTTTTTATAATTATTGTGTAATATTTTTTTATAATTTTTGTTAACAATTTAGAATTGATAATAATATAAATTTTCAAAACATTATATTCAAGCTTCAGTCAAAATAAACCATTATATAAATTATATATTTCTTAGAAAGAATTAAAAAAAACTGAATAACTCTAGAACAGAACAAAGTAAATGTTGTGAATGATCTAATCAAAACATTATTTATCATTCAATTTCATTGAAAAAATATAAAGCCTTTGCAAAAAAATTTTATATATCACAAAATTTATTTTTGGAATATTTAGTTATTTGGATAATAAATTCCTTCCATTCTCCTTATAATAAACTTCGTAAATATACCAAAGCCTTTTCCAATTGTGTCAAACGACAATTGGCCAATTCATAAAGCTGACGCAGGGTATTGAGAAAAAACTTATACAAAGTAAAATGTTCTAAGAAATTGCTTATATCCAATATGAAGTCTATGACACGGGCTATAAAGCGGGTAATGGGCGCACATTGGCAATTGAGATGTATGTAAACGGTCAACTCACCTTTAGAATGGGTAACACATTGTGAGGACAGCACCGAGCTGGAGGGACCTTTTAAAACCGATTCCAAACAGCGTATATTATCACGGCAAGTATTGATAATTTCAGTCTAAAAAAAACAAAAATAATTTATTAATATTATTATTAAAAAAAAAAATAAATACACAAGCTTACATAATCCTCTGGCCTCAAGAGATGACAACGAATTTTCAAGGCCTTTGTGTCGTCCAAACGATTTTGTGATTGATGCAATAAATTGCGTATTTCCTTTTCATCATCACTATCATCGCCCGATGATGATGAGGTGGCTGGTATAAGTTTTATGCATTTTTCCAAATTACGTGATGAACGTCTACGTTCGTCGGCCTTACGACGTCTTTGTGACGTATCACTTTCTGAGGTACGCCTCAACGATTGGGCGGAATGACTCATGCCGAATTCCAATTTACGTGTAGCCGAATCCAATTTATGCTGTTGGAAATTGAAACGTTCCGAATTTTTCGGTGTCAATGCCTGGGTAGAGGAGGAGAGCGCAGCAATTGTGGGACTCTTGGGATTTGGATAGTCCAAGGATTCTGAAAATATGGAAATAATTATTTTTAACGAAAAGGGAAATTACGTTTATTTAATAACATAAAAAATAATATTCTCCAAAGAAATTAAATGAAAAACACTAATAACAAAACTACAACTCATTAACCATTGGGAAGACATTCTGTGAAAATTGCAGGTTATCAGGCGAACCTAACAAAACCAATAGCCGCCTTAATGGGCCCGAATCGACAGCGATGTGCAGAACATCTGCCCAACTTGTGGCACAGACCCACATGACACGCTACTTCGCTGTCCAGCCAAACATAGTCACCTAACTCCAGCCTCGTTGTGGACCCAAACAGTACAGGTTGCATCCTTTTTGAGACTGGACTTGGAGGCAGAACCCAATTGAGAGGAGCCAGAATGTACACATCAGTATAAGCTGTTACAACAACAACAACTTTACAATGAAGAACAAAACTATGATATATTCCGTTTTTTGTTACTCTTCTATTGAACTTAAGACTGTCACGATTTTTACAAATAAGGATTTTTGGGCCAATAAGAAACTATACTTCTACAGTTTCTTAGTATAGTTTCTTACGCCTTGATAAAAATGCATCTCTCTTTCCATAAATGAGATCTTTTTTACAAAATAAAAATAACTGGGATTAAACATGCTTATTTTGAAATAAGAAACTATAAAAAGGCATAAATAGGTAGTTTATCTTTATAGGATTTTATTAAACTAAGGATTTCTGTTGTTACTTTAAAATTAAAAAAAAAACACAGTTTCTCATATTTGACATCGAACAGATTTCGAACGAAATAACTTTGGGTATGCACACTTTAAATTGATGGAAATTATAATTCAAGCGTTCGATATTTAGTAGTTTAAACCGAAATGTTCATTTAGATCTACCGAACATATAACTATTGAAATTAATTTCGAAGGAACTAGTTTGCTATTGAAAGCGATCATATCATGATATCTTCGGTGTAATTCTGTTATTTATTATTCGAAAAAGGCTTTACATTTTCATGGACATTCCTAAAAATGTCTACTATTACAATGTATTCAACGAATTCCATTTTCACTTTAATGCAGATGAAATTTGCACAGCTCAATTTGTTCTCCTCATGGCCAGATCACCCTCCTAACTTTCCTTTATGCTTTCATTTTATGTACACTCACACAGACACCCACAAGAGCATATTTTTCACTTAATTTTTTGCAATTTTTTTTAGGTTTTCAATATTTTCTTTTTTTTGCGTTATGATAAACAGAGTGGTGGCGGTGGTTGTGTTACCTTGACAAGATTTACGTCTGATTTCTAGATTTTTGCGACGTCTTTCGTATTCCAATTCAAGTGCTCTACGTCGTCTGGCATGATCCACACTACTGACAATTGTGTCTTGTGTTATGACAATTTTCGTCTCATTTTGTTGCAATGAATCCATGCGCGGTGGTGAGAGTGAATCCAAATTGTTGGCAGCCGACAATGAAGAGCAACAATCCGATTGCGAGTCAATGAAATTGCTACAAACCAGGAAAAAAAGAATAATTTTTAATTAAATATTAATTGAAAAAAAAAACTAAATAAATTATGTCACTAAAGCCACTTTGTCGAAATATATCATCTTCTTGGCTAAAGGCTCTTGCGTGGCGTTGTGAACTTACCGATAGTCATCACCAAATTCCAATAATTTGCGTGCAGCATCCGAATCAAAACCTTCGGAATAATTTTCCGAATTATATTTCTCTTGATAATTATCCCAGGCTGTCTCCGAGAAACTGCTATGGTGATCTTCTGTGCCCGTAGTGTACTCTATGGAATTTCAAAAGAGAGAAACAAATATTAATAATGATACTTAAAAGAAAAATCGTATATATAAAGGAATATATACAATGTGGGAAAGGGGTGACCGAGGGGAGGCAATATCGCATGCACTACACAGAGGAAAGTTTTTTCTAGCAGAATGTTTGTTGTCATTAGATATACACATATGTAGAATATAAACATTTGCAAAATTTCTAGTAGTTTAGCATGCTGTGAGAATAGTTCAGGGTTCGGATATTATCGTTTGTATACATAAAAGTAGAAGCTTATCGCAGTAATGGAGAAACATTTGTTTATTTAGTAGCGAATAGTTTATGACTACCATGCCACGTAGTTGTATAAGTGGAGGAAAGTGTTTGTTTATTTAGTGTAGAATAACTTATGGCGATTTATACCGTATAAAAAAGTGTAAAATAAAACTATTTACGATCTGCACAATAAGGAAATATCAAAACTTTGGTTAAGTTCCAGAATAAAAAAAAAAATGCAGGAGTTCACAGTATATTAATGTAAATTGAAAACAGTGAAACCCTTGAATTGAAAACACAAACAACGAAGACCTTTCAGATTTTTGTTTTCTGATTTGCATGTAACATATGGATAAAGCTTTGTAAGTCAGATGTAGTCTAAATTTATAACAATAGCTTGGTACCTATCTTTGGTGTCACTATACAAATTTTCCTCAAAAAAGAAGTTATGGCTAGTATACACATATTGTTAGAGTCCTATGTAAAGTTACTTTTTCTACATTCACATTTTCTACATTATTATAGCATTTTTATAGGCGCCCCACACAATTTGTTACCTGAAAGGAAATGCTTTATAATATAGTACATATTAATGTATTCATATTATAAGTGTAATATAAATATTATGTATGTATATTATATAGTGTTTCGTTGAAATTTAAAAATTGTTTGGTGCGCCCAAAAGTCTGCTACAAATGTGTTTCGAAAAAACACTACATATGACTCTAAAATTAGTCTGTACTTGTACAAAGAAAATGTTCCCAAATGTTTATAATTTAAAACAAGTAAAAATGCGATATGTTCGGCCGGGCCGAACTTTAAATAGCCTTCACCATTTGGAACGAATTTGGAAATTGTCAAAAAAAAAAGTCCGTAAAAAATGGTTAAAATCGTAAAAATACTGAATATAGACTTTATATTGGACGTGGACGTGCAGCTGCATAGGCAACTTTTGTCAAAAGCCATTACAATATTCAAATACGAAACTTGCAATAAACGGTGAATAATGTAGCTAAAATCATCAAAATACCGAATATAGGGAGGTAACGTTATATCGAGGATATACGAGGGCCTTGACCTGCATAGACAATTTTCTGTCACAGGTTGTAGTACCCGTTAGGAACTACAAATACGAAATTTCAAACAATTTCTCTGAATATTGTTCCTAAAATCCCAAAAGGTTAACGAGTACCATTTGGAATATTAACCTGAAGATATTCCGTTTTATATTTAATTGACCTAGAATAAATGTGGGATGTTTCATTCTGTTGAAACGACTAGAAGATGTACAATTTTTTCTCCCGAATTGATATGTTTAACGTTTGTTGTTTGTTTTGCCTACGACAGATAATCTTGTGACTATTTATTCTTCTGACTGAGGAAAGTTGTTATTTCCGATGGATATATTAGAAAAATAGACCTCTCTGTCTGAATGATGCACATTCAACGAATGTTTTATATTCAATATAGGATCATTTCATTATTCTCAATCAGTTTATGGAAGAAAGCATATAGCAAATTTGGTATGAGAAAGAACATTGTCTATTCATAACGTTGTACTGTGGAATTTAGTAGAGAATTCTAACTGCAACAAAAATTATTTGAATATTAATCTAAAAAACATGGAACAAATTTAAATAGAAAATCATAATAAAATCGGAATTTTAACTACACATGGTTATAATTATAAATAAATCTAAGTACATTAGTAGTCTTTAGAGCAAAAAAAATAATATTTACAGTTTACAAATCATTCTAAATTTTAATTTAAAAATAATATTCCTAAAATAAATAACATGCGCATCTAGCAAAATCTGTATGGTATCTACTAGAGTCTGCCACAATATTTTATAATACCTCTTTGTTTAAGTGTATGCGGAACAGGAGTGACAGCTTGAAAAGTGAAATTATAAATGTGATTGAGTAAACCTGTATTTTGTGGACATATTTAAAAAAAAAATCACAACTCCCGTATGGAAATAAGAATTATACTAACCAAAAATAATTGAAAGGAAATGAAAGTAAAAAAAGAAATCCAAACTACTAAACTTATAACAAATTTCAGGTAACTTTATAACAACTCAAAACTTGAGAACTAAACATGGCTAAAGTCCCTATTAATCTGGGGAGTCCGTTTAAAAATACAAAACTCAATACGAAAAAACAAGAACCAAAAAGAACTCATTAAATTTAAAAGTCAAACGATACAAACAAAAAAAAAACAGAACACTTGTTTAAACTAAATGAAAACAAACGAAAATAATCGAACAATAAAAAAAGAAAAACACACACAAAACGAGATCGTCCAACACTTGCACACACCTCTGCTTAAGGCATGTGCAGGTAGTTTTCCTCGATGGTGGTGTGCCATGCGGCAAACTCACAGTTTGACAGTCGATGAAATGGCTGTTGTGAACTTACCTCCTTGCAATTCTTCATCATTCATGTATGTGGCCAACTTGGCCAAAGAACCCAAACGAGCTTCGTTGGTCATGTAGGCCGTGGTGAAGGAGCCCACACGGAAATTAGGTTTCATCAAATGATTTTCCTCCTCGCCACTTTCGGCATTTGAAGCTGCGACATTTGTTGCTCCTGGAGGACAATTGTTAATCAATTGTTCCGAGTTGCTAGCAATGTTACCATTGCTGTTGCTGCTGCTATTTTGCAATTGCAACAATGCTTGGGTGATTTCTGCCATTTGTTGAGGTGTCATTGACTCACAAGACGATAGAATCATGTTATTGTTGTTGGCGTTGCTATTACTATATTTATTCAATTCTGTCTGTTCCAGATTATCTTCTGAGTTGGTGTCAGACTTTTTGCCATTTGCTGTGTAGCTAAGCTTCTTCTTGCGTGTCTTGCGTCGCTTTAGTGAACCCTTGCTGTCATAGCTCTTAACTTGAGCCGCTGTCGAAGAGGTGCGTGGTCTGCCTGGCGACAATGAGTCCAATGCCGATTCGCTTATGGAGTGTGAAGCCAAACCAGATTGAACATTGCTTATGGTGCAGACTTTGGCAGCCACTTGTTTGGCATCGGTGGTCAATTGAGATAGGCAAGATACCGACCAGGGTCTTTCGGATTTGCGACGCGATTGTTGGCGTTTAGTGACCTTTACATTCAAGCTTTGATTACTGCCTGGCACAACCATGGGCTCAGCTGAGCCGCCCATACGCTCGGTGGAATTGCCATAAGAATTGGTGCTTGTTTGCATACATGTTGCAATGGATTCAGTGAAACCTTCCGAAGTGTCATCGGAGCAGTGTTGGGGTATTGAATCAGTTTCAGAAGCCTCCCCTGATGCCTCACAGTCATCGGTGCGCGAGGGACTTGCCGCCACACTTGAGGGTGAAATCATCAGCTGATGATCCTGTGGGGACTTTAATTGAACAGGTGTGGTGGGTTGGTGTTCGAGCCATTCCTAAACCAAAAACAAAAGCAGATTAAAAATATTGGAAAACACCAAAACAACATTGACTCATACCTGTACTCTCTTTATGGGACCCGGCATGATACTAACTTCACGTTTTTTAATCGTTGACGATATCTGCACCAGACCGCCACAATTGATGGAATGCTTTTGCTTGGTTGGTGTTTTCAAAGCTTCGTCACGTACTAAATGCTCTGCTTCGAGTACCAACTGTTTGATGGATTCGTGCGATACTTTACCCTGTAGTTGTTGTTGGTTATGTTGTTATTTCGATGATGATTTTCGTTATTGTTTCAGCGTTGTTGTTGTTGTGTTGTTGGCGAGGATGATGAGAGCATGCATACGACGACGACGGCGAACGTAATAAAATCCGACAACAAGAGGCAACAAACCAAACCGTAGCGGCAACAAGACATGATTGAATGGTTGGACATGGAACGAGACGAATAGAAAAAAGAGAGCAAAATAGAAATTAATACACATGAGAATAAAACAGTAAAACAAGTAGACAATAATAAATGATAGATAAAAACATACAAAGAAAAAAAAAAAAACAACAACATAATAATAACAACAATGACGTTTAGCCAGTCAGCCAGCCAACCAGACATCAAGCCGGGTTGGGCTTCATCATCAAAAACAATAACAGAAAAGAAGTGTCCATAAAACAATAAAACCACCTCAAATAAACCCGGTCAATTATGACAGCTTAAAAAATGTACCCTACATGATGGTAGCATGAGGCAACAACACCTGGCTGTAACGTGGTCTACTGCACCAACGGTATGTTGTATGTATGTAACGAAAGTGGCTACAATAAAACAAAAGAAACAGCTGGACATAGATCTTTCAAGTTCAAATTTTGTTTAACGGTAGAAACAACTGTGGACAGATACAAAAGTAGCGCAAAGATATATACATATGTACGTACACATGGAAAGTGTGAGAGAGGGAGAGTGTGTTCATTTCACGTGTTTTCTAATTGAGATGAGTTGGATGTTTTTTCACTGAGACAATTAATTAGAAAATTAGCTTCTCAGAGTAAAATATATAACAGCCGATCTTGTGTTGCTCAATAATTTGGAAATGTATGTTTAATAATTAGGGTGTATGATACTGATTTGTATAAGTTATTAGAAAATTTTGTTCAAAAATTAATTAAATGAGTGCGAGTAAGGAGAGCAATTTCGACAGCGGAGTTACTGAGAGTTTACTGGGAAGTTTTTCTCAGTAAAAGTGTTTCATTGACGTTGTGAAAATGTTTTTAAATTGCAGGCGATTATTAAAATCTTTTAATTTTTTTTCATATACAGGATAGGATGAAAAAACTGCAACCAACTTCAGACTGCTGTCATTTCTAAGCCACTCGTCCGACAGCTGTTAAAATTATTCCAGTGACAGCTCATTATATTGTTTACAAGCGTATAAAAGCATTTTGGTGAGATTTTTCCAGAAAAAAAGTTATTCGTAATGGAATTCAAGCGTGATTTCGTTATATGTGGCTGGAAAGCCACAAGTGACCATCGCTAGAGCACTGCAGCATTTTAATGTGAATAAGTCTTTTGTGTCTCGTACCATCGCTCGTTACCGTGATACTGGTAGCGTAGCCCGACGTCGAGGAAGTGAACGGAAGAAAACAGCAACATCAGCAGAAATGGTTCAAAAAGTATAGAAGCGACTTGATCGAAACCCGCGTCGCAGTGGCTGAAAAATGGCTCGGAGCTTAACATATCGCAATATTCCATTCGGCAAATATTGAAATATGAGCACGGGGTAAAGCTATTGAAATTTCAAAAAGTGCAAGAACTTACACCGCAACAGAAAGAAAATTGACTCAAAAGAGCTAAAGAGTAGCTTCGCTTGGCCGAAGGTGATAAACTGCCGAATTTGGTTTTCTCCGATGAGAAAACATTCGTTGTCCAGCTGTTTGTAAACAAACAAAATTATCGTGTTTACTTGCCAAAGAGGTCAGCTGAAAATGTGCACCTTCGGTTGGCCACCAGAACTCAAGTGTTGGCCATGGTGATGGTGTGGGACAACATAACAGCCGATGGTGGCTCTCCGCTCGTATTAATCGACCGTGGATGCAGAATATTATCGTGAAAATATTCTGGAGGGTGTATTAAAGCCTTGGGGTACGCAAACATTTTGGCCGCAGACCTTGAACATTCCAGCAGGATTCAACAACAAAATGAGGTTCCTCGCTTCATTTCCTGCGCACAATGGCAACCAAAATCTCCGGATACCAATCCGTTTGACTATTGTGTCTGGAGTATTTTGGAAAGCAAGGTTGGCACTTAAAAATACCAAAGTGTCGATCACCTCAAGCAAGCGCTTCCCCGGGAATGGACCAAACTACCGCAGAGCAATTCGGGCAGCGTGTGACGGTTTCATTGGCCGTTTTAAGGACATAATTCGTGCCAAAGGTGACCAATTCGAACAAATCTAAAATTATTCTAAAATTTGATGCTGTTTCCGACATTTTTTGCGTTCATTCAATAAAATTTAAAAAAATGTAAAATCTATGGCGTTTGACTTTGTTGCAGTTTTTTTATCTCACCCTGTAACTAGCATTGAATATAACACTTAAAACATAAAATAACTTTTTTTAAATTTGATTTTATTTTCTTTATGATTTAACAAGTAAAAAAGGTGTAAGTTTGGCCGGCCCAAAAATTGGAACGAATTTGGCAATTTAAAAAAAAAAATGCACAGAAAATTTTCTGTCTTAGACTGCAGTACCCATTACGAACTTCAAATACCAAAATTTTAAACAATTCTGGGGAAAAATGTCGCTAAATCATCAAAATACCAAATATCGGGAGGTAACGTTATATGGGGGGCTATATACAAATTATGTCCTGCAGACATAAAATACATTTGAGTAAAATTCTTTTTTACTTATTTTCCGCAGACCCTACTTTATAGGGTCTAAAATATATATTTCCATGGTGGTAATTGGTACTGTTAATTGATTTTCAGACGAAAGCATTGCATGCCTATATTGAATCATCCTCATATGCAAAAAAAATGTTACTTAAAATATTTCTCAATGCTTATCGGTCAAATAAAATTGGCGATAAAATTCAAAGAACTCTGATAATATTCAAATCGACCCGATAAAGTGGCCACAATGCATATTGTAGGGTTCTAGAATTTCTATCCAAATTCTGTTATACACTTATATTTGTATATATGCGAATGTACGCCGTAGAATTATAAAAACAAACAATTGTTTTATTTTAATTTCAATTTATTGGGAAAATAAAAAAACTTTAGTGGTTCTCTTCAACATTTCTTATCTGTGACGACGAAGATGGTCTTTGTTTTCAATTGGAAACAATGAAACTTTGCTGTTGTTAGCATGGGCAGGGAGAAATAAAAATCGATCTCATTGGAATGCCATAAAACGGTTCTCCAATATGATCCTTACAAAAGGAATTTGAAATAAGTAGTGATGCAGAAAATTCCTCTCTCTCTCTCTCCCTGTGTATTTGCTCTCATAAATACAAATTTCATTCTTAATTTATTAAAGTGCATATGTCCGACTTTATACCTTCCTGCACTTCTCTGTTATCGCATATGAGCAAATTAATAACCCAATTCAAGTGAGACTGGCATTCGCCTTTGTTGGCACGTAGAATAGCCGGCAAAATGTTTTCAAAGACACAATCGAACACATACCCCACCATATCGTTTGGATGGTGAATGGACGGACACTGATAAAAGTCTAAAATGACTTCCATACCATTCAAAACAAACTCGATTCACTTGATTACTATCAACTTCACCCTCATCGTCTGTCATCCACATTTCCATGGAATCCCAGAGATGATGTCAGGCTAGAGTGTCTTATCAGTAATTAAAGAGTGTGAATTGTGCTCTATTCTAAAATCCCTCGATGACTTCTTGACGTGTTTACGGTTGGTTTTCTTTGACACTTATTGTTTGTTGTTGTGTTTTTAGTTTTGCTCTGTATTTTTTGTTGTTTTCCCAATGGAGATAATGAAATTTTAATTATTTACCAATTTGATAAATTTGCAAATTTTTTTACCGTTGTTTGCTTGCAAAGTTCTTACTGGCGCGCTATAAAAAAGGAGCGGGGGAAAGGGAATTTATTTAATGATTATTATTTCATTTCTTTATTGTTATTAGTAGCACGGGTCTGAGACTTTCGGGAGTTTTCAAAAATGATGACCTCATTTGCTGTTCTATTTTTAAAACTGCAAATTATTGATTTTGAAACGATAAACGTAAGCAAATGAAAGAAAATGTATTATTGAGTTGTTAAGTTGTAAAATGTGTTTAATTATACTGCGGTAACAAATGTTCAATAAGAAGCTGGATTTTTCATATCACACTTGTAGTACCTAAGAAAAGACCTCAAAAGATGGAGGTACTTAAAAATTGCAGAGAATCAATATTCTTGCATAGGGAGCATAGCAAAAAGTTGTTTTATTATACAGGGTGAGAGAAAAAAAAACTGCAACAAAGTCAAACGCCATAATTTTTACATTTTTTTTAAATGTCGGAAATAGCATTAAACTTTAGAATAAGTTTAGATTTGTTCGAATTTGCCACCTTTGACACGAATTATGGCCTTCAAACGGCCAACGAAACCGTCATACGCTGCCCGAATGTTGTACTGCGTTGTTTTGGCCCATTCCCGGCGAAGCGCTTTCTTGAGGTGATCGACACTTTGGCATTTATTAGTGCCAACCTTGCTTTACAAATTACTCCAGACACAATAGTCCATCGTATTGGTATCCGGAGATTTTGGTGGCCATTGTGCACTGGAATAGAAGCGAGGAACCTCATTTTGTAACCATTCTTGGGTACGCGTGCTAAGTGCGATGGAATATCCAAGGTCTGCGGCCAAAATGTTTGCGTGCCCAAGGCTTTAATACACCCTCCAGAATAATTTCGCGATAATATTCGGCATTTATTCTGATGCCACGGTCAATTAATACGAGCGGAGAGCGACCATCGGCTGTTATGGCGGCCCAAATCATCACCAATGCCGGCGCTTGAGTTCTGGCGGCCAATCGAAGGTGCATATTTTCAGCTGTCCTCTTTGGCAAGTAAACACGAACATTTTGTTTGTTTACAAACTGGTGGACAAGTATTTTTTTTACATCGGAGAAAACCAAATTCGGCAGTTCACCACTTCCGGCCAACCGAAGAAACTCCTTAGCTCTTTTGAGTCTATTTTCTTTCTGTTGAAATTTGAAATTTCAATG